GGCCCTGCCCTAGCTTGCTGGCCAGAACCGGGGCGCTCGTGCTGCCTGAGAAGCAGGGCATGGATGGATCCAAGTCCTAATCCTGATGTATACCCCCTAGACCTGCCCCTGCCTGACGTCTGGGTCTGCAGCAGCGAACGCCAGTCAGACCCCAGGGACAGCGATCCACATTGCAAGACCCACATTCCTGGGCTCCAGTTGCAGCTGTTCACTCCCTCTAGGGCCTGACGGAGCCCCTCTGCTTGCCCAGGGGGGACCAGGACACCACCGGGTGCTGGAGACACAGTGTAGGAGATGGGAAAGGGCAGAGGAAAGCATCTTCCGTGCTCAGCTCACAAAGGGTTAAGCACCGGGGCTTCGCCCCCGCCTTTCACATAGCATCTAGTTACTGACCGCAAAGTTACCCCCGGTGCGGCTTCCCCGGCAACACCCCCAACCCCTCTGGCAACACCCCGCTCCCCACAGGGCACAGGGGCCCGATCCCTGCACTCGCAGTGAAAGACAGCCCTGGGAGAGGGGTTGTGCGTTGTGCATCGGCCTGGGGGTGCCGTGTATCTGTGTGTGTGGGGGGGTGCACCTGCTAGTGTGTGTCTGTGTAAAGGTGCTATGTACCGTGTCCCTGGGGCAAGGTGCAGCGCACCTGCCAGTGTGCATCTGCACAGGAGTGTTGTGCATTGTATGGAGGGGTGTTGTGTGTCTGGGTGTGTGTGTGTGTGGTGTGCTAGGCAGCGTGTATCTGTGTAAGGGTGTTGTGTGTGTGCCTGCCAGTGTGTGTCTGTGTAAAGGTGTTGTGCATGGTATGTTCGGGTGGGTGTGCAGTAAATCTGCTGGTGTGTGTCTGCATAGTGGTGTTGTGGGTCTGGGTGCGTGCGTGCACTGGGCAGTGTGTATCTGTGGAAGGGTGTGAAAGGGTGTTGTGTGTCTGGGGGGTGGATGTGTGTCTGCCAGTACGTGTCTTGTGGAAAGGGGTTGTGCATTGTATGTCTGGGTGGGTGTGCAGTGAACCTGCCGGTGTGTGTAGACATGGTGGTGCTGTGCATCTGGGTGTGTGTGCAGTGCACTGGGCAGCGTGTATCTGTGGAAAGGTGTTGTGTGCAATGGTGTTGTGTGTCTGGGGGTGTGTGTGCCTGCTGGTGTGTGCCTCTGTAACGGTGTATTGTGTGTCTGGGGGTGCATGCAAGACACCTGTCAGTTTGTGTTTGCATGGTAGTGTTGTGTGGAGGCTGTTGTGTGTCTGGGTGGCTGCGTGGTGCACTGGGCAGTGTGTATCTGTGTAAGGGTGTTGTGTCTGGGTGGGTATGTGGTACACCACCCACTGTGTGTCTGTGTGTTTGATGTGTGGAGGGGTGTTGTGTGTCTGTGTATGCACTATACCCATTGATATGTGAGTCGGCAGTTGTGTGTGTGTCCCTGGGGTGGCTGCATGTGCCATGGGCCTCTGTTAATAGATGTGTCGTGTGTCACTGCAGACAGAGGATGTGTGTGTCTAGGAAGGTAGGACATGCACAAAGAAGAGGGGTTGTGCAGATGTTCTGTGCCCAAGAGCATGTAGATGAGCTGGGGTGGGGTGGGGGGAGGTGTTGTGGGTGGAAATGTTGTATATTTGAGCCTGTGCGTGTTGTGTGTTAGTCAAGGGCATTGTCCGGGCAATCAGGTCTTTTGAGGGTACATTGTGAACACAACTGTTGCGTGCATGATTTTGGGGCATGGGTATTAGGCGTGTAAGTGGGACGTATGGGGGCTATCTTGTGTGCTCATGTGGGTGTGTTGTGACTGGGTATGACACGTGTGAGTGGGGGGTGGGAATGGTGTGTGTCCGGATAGACACGGTGCTTTGCACCCACTGGTGCCATGTGTCCGTGGGATACTGGGGAGCGCATGAGAGCACGGCAGGGGAAGCCAGGTATTCCCACCAGTGCACTGCTCTGCCCTGTTAATACCCACGAGCCTGGCTGGACATGGGGCATCAGCATAGACCTTCAGGGCAGCTTCCACGAGTAAAATCCTCACCATCAAGGGTGCAAAGCTGCACCCATCAGGCCAAGGCCAGATGCCACAACCCCCAGTGAGCAGCGAAGGAAAGAGTCACGGTCACCAGGTCCCCAAGGAAGAGGATCATTCAGGTCCTTTGCCAACAGATCTTGGTCCCGGGTGAAAATATTGCAAGGTGAATGTCCTGGGAGCAGGGCTGTGTGTCTGTGGTTTCGAAAGCTAGAGGTTAGGGTGTGATCCTGTCGCAGAAGCTGAGTCCAGAGCAGGTCTGGATTGCACGCTAATATAACACCCCTTGAAAGTGCCAGGTGGAGACAGTGAGGGTCCTCTGCCCCATGTGTTGCAAGTTATCTGGATCTGGTCTCCCAGGACTCCTATGGGCAGCATTTTCCACCTATGCAGACACCCAGGCGATCACAACCAAAGCTGTCTCCATCAACTCTGGCTGTGGGCCCAGTGGGAGACTTTCAGGGAATTTTATTTTTAAACTCCCCCAAACTTTGCCCTGCGAATGCCGGGCCCCTCCCGCCTCCGCCGGGTACCTCTGGGCAATGCCGTCACCGCTTTTCTTTCCAGAGGGCGGCTTTCCATTTTGGAGCTCACAGATGGCAACGTTAATTATCCTCCCCGGCGCGCCAGAGCTCCCAAAATAAACCGAGGGGCCAGCACTGAGAGAGCCGCGCAGCCCAAGGTTGGAAGGAGGCATCGCTCCTCACACCATCACACGCATCGCCCCATGCGACCAGTTCTGGCTTGCAACGTGAGCAACACACAACAGCCCCACTCTCGCACCCAGGATCCACCAGGTTCAGAGGTACTTGCCACTCCTGGTCAGCAACGAGCTGATCTCTACGTCTTGAATTCCCTCTTGAGCATCCGGAGGAGGGGAGATAACAATCTCGTTAGGGAATCTTGCCATATTATTTTTAATTTTTTTTTTTACTGACATATAAATTTATATTTAACAGATTTTACTGACAGGCAATTTTCACTTTTTTTTTTTCTCAATTTCACTGACAGTCAGTAAATTCGCTGGCAGATGGTATGGAGTCACTGTGCCCAAATGAGGAACAAGGAGAAACCAGCCAGGATTGACCACTGCTAGGATCCAGGCAGAAGGCCGCTGACTCCAAAACGTCAGCCTCATTGATCCGCTGTGCTGTGTTCCCATGGCCGACGGGTTTTTGGATCGTCTCCAAAGTGTCTAAAATTAGAAATATCCCCAACACCCTCCGGGCCTCTCTTTCTTTCATGCCCGTAGGAGAAATGTTCCATCAGTGTTGTTGATTTACGTGTGCATGAGCGAGTGGGTGTTGTGTGTGTGTGTGCTGATGCAGCCGCGATGGTCCAGGAAATATGCAAGCGGCAAGGATTTTGGGGGGATATATCTTTTCTTGGACCAACTGCATGGGTGCGTGTGTGTGTATGTGTGTGTGTGGGAGTGTGTGTGTTAAGAGGGTGAATGGGAATCGTGTGGGCTTTGCAAGTGTGTTTTGGGAGGAGGGGTGCCGTGGACATGCCTGGGTGTGGCTCTGTTGTGCGTACGCGCGTGTTGCGTGTGCAATGTCTTTGTGCACACCCATGGCTCATGCATTAGTGGAAGGCTTTTGGGGAGTGCTTTGTGCAGGGGAGAGGGAGCTTGCACCTGAGCGGGAGAGGCGGGGGGGGGCACTGGCACTGATACGGG